TCCTAATTTAGTATATATTTGAAGCTATTAATTTTATACTGCATAATTTTAGGATGCCTTAAGATTTCATGCTAAGCATTTCTGAGTGTTTTAGTTTTTACTTATTTGCATAAGAGATGAAGGATTTTATAACCTGCTCTCAAATAATAGAATCCCATTTAGAATTCTTTTAGTACTTCATTAAGAAAATGTAAAATACTTTCATCTTTGTGCTATTTCTTATTATAGCTTGTTAATTTTGGCAAAGAAATGCTATTTTAAATTCCCATATGGAACAATATAAAATAGGATAATCTGTATTTACTCAGTTGATTTTAATACAGATTTTTGAGCAACAAAGTGGCCAGTTGGCACCCTCTGTTGGTCATTTTATTAACCTACAGGAAGATAGTTAAGTAATAAAGTTGCAATTTGGCTTCTAAGAGTTTAATCTGTGTTTTTTAAATTAGCATTTAGAAATCTCACCAAATAATGCTCTAAACTGGGTTCATATTAATAAGATACGTTCTTATTTAGCTGTGTTATGTTTTGGCAATTTTGTGGTTATTTGCTTTTTCCTTAGGCTGGCGCTCTAATTGTAGCATTCGGAATTGCCATTAACATTGCAGATTTTCAAACAAGTATTTATTTAACTGTAGCAAACTATTAGCTACAGTAGCACATTATTAAACAGATAATGTTTAACAGTTTTATTGTCAATTTGGATTAATTAGAAAAACATCACATTTTAGCACCCTAAATAACAGTTTGGGGAGTTATTTGAATTGAATATAATTCAAGCGTCAGAAAATTGAGGCTGAATTACTTTAGTTCTCTTATTTTTTAAAAAGACAGGTTTAATTATTCTCTATGATTATATGGTTAGTTGGATTTGTATTATAGTTTGGCAATATTTGTATATAATAAGTTTGCTGACTGGTCCTGGAAATACCTATACAAATAATTTATAATTGCCAGGAAGTAAGCTGTTCTCTGCCAGGTTGTTGGATACTGTAGAGGGGGAATTTTATTTTTTTTATTTTTTTTATTTTTTGGTAAATATTCAGCTGGTTTGCTTTGGTGGTTGTAGTATTTTGGAATTTCATTTGCCTGCCAAAGTCTCAGATTTAATCCAATTTAATAACACCTAATGGATTGCAACCGTAGTGTAATCTATGACTTATTCGATAGTGTTTAAGTTACATACCATATTAGTGCTTCCTTGTATTTTTTCATTGAAATAAGTATTATAAGAATTTATATTATGTATTTCTCATAGAGAAGATATTTTTAGAAATGTTACTTACAAATGCCAACAATATGTGTTTATATTATATTTTGTGTGCTGTGTGGTTGGGGTGTGTGTGTGTATGTGTGTGTGTGTGTGTATATATATATATATACATATATATATATATATTTTTTTTTTACATATATATATTTATTTTTCTTCTTTTTTTGTCAGTCACATATCCACTTTTTCTGTCCTGTCAGGATTTGTGGCATACATGCCAAGGAGCACAGGACCAGGCCAGGATTTGAACTGCAGTTGGCCACGTGGGACCTGGCATTTCTATGAACAGCACTTATCTGCTGCACTATGGGGCTGGGCCTGTATTTCTTCTGTCAATTTGAAGAAACTGAGTTTGCAGTTAATTTCTAGTGGTCCTTGTAAGTACGTTATTTTACCAAAATACATACTAGACTATTCTGTTTAACTTTTCACTCTAGATGAAATAATAAGAAAGATAATGTCTGATACGACAAACTAAACTAAGATAAAGTGTTGAATTGAACTGTTTTTTTAAATTTGATTCAATGAAAGATTATTTTGAAATAATCAGTGACCACTTGTATTTTTTTTTTTTTTTTGGAGAGGTTTTTGCTACAGGGTGCATGTGCTCGCCAGACAGACAGAGAGAGACAGAGAGAAAGCAAGCGAAATCACCCCCCAGGGGGGAATGGTCACGCCGCAATCCCTTCTCCTCCATTCTCCTCTCGGGATCTTGGGCACACACACACACGTGCCCGGCATGAGTTTTAAGCCACCGGGTCCGGGACGCGAACCGCGGTCGACTACATGGGAATCCAGCGACATAGCCATTACGCTAACTGCTGGTTCCTTACTTGTATTTTTCATGAAGTGAATTCTGTAGTTAAAGACCAGGTGTGACCATAGAGTAATAAGATAGCCTTATGAGAACATATGGTTTTAAATCTAGTACATAATTTTAGTCAAATCTAGTAATGCATGATATAAATTCCATATAGGGCTGGCCCTGTAAGACAGTGGTTAAGTGCCATGCAAAGAGAGCCAGGTCCCACATGGTCCAAAATGGCTTGGATCCATACCCAGTGGCTTGTAAAGTACACTGGGCACATGTACAGTCCTGGATGCTGAAGGAATGGAGGGAAAAAGGATTGAGGCATGGCCTGGACCTGTTGGGGGAAGTTTTTTCTCTCTCTCATGTGTATGCACATGCCTTCTGGCAAAAGAGGCCTAAAGTTATATAAATACTCTATTAATGTCATGTATAAACATACCAACTTAAGTATGTCAGTAAATTATTTTGAAATATACTTCAACTGTAATATTTTAACTTTTAATCCGATAGTAAGGGGGTAAAAAAGTAACATGATGTATTTTGTTTTCAAATGTGGACTCTTAATGAATATATAAGCAGTCTTCGCTTTTTAATTTTTTTTTTTAATTGCCAGAATATACACACACTTGCCAGAAAGAAAGAGAGAAAGCACCTTCCAGTGGAGTGTGGTCATGCCACAATTTTTTTTCTTCTACTTCTCTGTCCTGTCTAGATTTTGGGCATGTACACACGTGCAGTTATGGGTTTTTTTTAAGACCGACAGGGCTGAGATTTGATCTGCAGTGAGCCATGTGGGATCTGACTCCACAAGCATAGCACCTAACCTACCCTATGGAGCCAGCCCTAGGAAGTTCTTCATTTTTCCCTAAGTTTTTGCCATGGGGTTTGTGCGCTTGCCAGAAAGAGACAGAATTAGAGTCAGTGAGAGGGAAAGTGAGAAATCACCCTACCAAGGGGATGACCATGTCATTTTCGTCTCAGGATTTTGGGCATGCACACTTAGAGACCTCGTGTGATTTTTAAGCCCCCAGGGCCAGGACTTGAACTGTGGTCACCCATGTAGGAGTCCAGCCCACTAACGATCACACCACCTGCATGCCCCTTGGCAGTCTTTTAAATAAACATACTGAACACAATGAGTTGGTGTCATCCTCTTCTGAAAATTAAATAACTTACCACTTCAAACTGCCGCCCAATCTTTCTCAAGGAGCCCTCTTAAAATCAAACAATACTCAAATGGAAAGTTTTCATCTTATCACATATTTGAAGTACCTAATTAAATTAGCCACTAGTTAATTAGCTAACCAAATTAAATGGGGACAAAAAATATAAAGAAGAATACTCTTAGAAATATTGCTGTAGAAATGGGTTGCTAATTGCTAAATAGAGACTGTTAGGAAATAGGATGTGGTGGAAATAGTTAAGGATGGGATTGTATTGGTCTAGTAGGAGAATACCTATTTTAAAAATTAAAAAAAATATTTTTGCCGGAGGGTACAGGCAACTTGCCGGACAGAGACAGACAGGGAAAGTGAGAAAAACACCACATGGGACTTAGTCATGCTGCAGTCCCTTCTCCATTTCTCCGCTCTTTCTGGATTTTGGAAACACGCACACATGCCTAGAGTGTTTTTCAAGCCACCAGATCCAGGATTCAAACTGCGCAGTCGGCCATGTGGTCTCCAGCCACCTTAGGCACCATATCACCAGCTGGCCTGAAAACTTTTTTAAACTTGCTATAGGGCATGTGTGCTTATGGAGAGAGGAAGAGGGAGAGAAGGAAAGAGAGAAATCACCCCTGGGGGTGAGGGGGTAACCAGACTGCATCCCTTCTCCTTCATTTGTTTTTTGTTTTGTTTTGTTTTGTTTTGTTTTGTTTTGTTTTGGATTTTAGGCACCACACATGTGCCTGGAGTGTTTTCAAGCTGCCAGGTGTGGAACTCAGCCATGCAGTTGGCCATGTGGGATCGGGTTGCCACCCGCTGGCCCCTTGAAAGCATTTTGTATGGTGTTAGTATATTCTAGAATCAGATTTGGAAGTGTTTTATATCCCCAGAATTTCCTTTGAGACGTTTTTCTATTGTCATGCTGTTTTTCTCTCCACGGTTTGCTTTCTACAGAGCCACTCCCTTCCTTTCTCACCTTAGTTTGTCTGTTTTAGTATATATTTAGTTGTTGGAAATTTTTAGAAAATAAAATATATTAACTGCTTATAAGTACATAACAATAATATTTTGGTGGTTTGTTAGATTCTGTAAGTATAAGATACTCCCCTGGACAGAAGTTGCATGACTGGGAAGTTCACTAACTTTCCTAGGCCACTCTAGTAAGGGAGAAATGTAATTTATGAAATAGTGTTACGAGGTTTTAGAGTTCTGGAGACCTGGACAAATACTGTCCATCCTGTTTATAAATACAAGGGATCACAAACGTCAGTTATTGTAGAGTCACTAGTATGCAATCTTGAAGGAATATAGTATTTATGTGAAAAATAGAAAATGATTTTATACATTTCTCTTAAAACTAGCTAGTTGTTGACTAAACATCTTTTTTAAATTTTTTATTATCATCATAATCTTCTTTATATTACATTGGATTACATATAACTTTACAGTGTATTACATTGTTTTTTCAAAAGGGAATGCCATGCATGTCAGTCAGTACAGAGACATTAATCTCCCCGCTTCAACATTCAATATCTTTTCTATGTTTTGACTAAACATCTTAAAGTTATGTTCAAGTAGTTTACATTAACTGGATGTCATTGTTATTCATAATCACTTGTTTGTTTTTAATATTTAGGCTATTGTAAAATACAACTGTTAGATTGTACAATACAGTTATACAATACAGTTGTTAAAACAATTGCTTGCTAGAAAAGATAATTGCTTCATAAGGTGTTTCTTCTTTTGACAGTGACGTGAATTTTGAAAGTAAAGGACGAACGGCGTGTAAAGGGAAGATCGCCATATCAGGTGTGCTATAGATGGGTTATTTTATATGGCAGAATAAAGTCCATAAAGTCACTAGAATTGGGTTTCGTTTTATTCCTTTCTTTATTCTCTTCACTTTCTCTCTCTCTCTCTCTCTCTCTTTTTAGTTGTCACAGGGCATGTGCACTCTCCAGAAAGACAGAGAAGAAAAGCACTTCCTCCCCGCACCAAAGGGGGCGATCTTGCCACAGTCTCTTTACTTCATCCCATTGGCCATTTGAGCTGGCATGCATGTGTGCCCAGCGTGTTGTAAAATGACTGGGGCCAGGTTTTGAACCGCAGGAACAGTGTGAGATCTGGCTCCCTTAACCCCAGGCTGTGGTGCCATCTCCATTTTATTTTTCATATGCCTATCAGAATGCGTGTCCTAACACTGTCTCCATCCTTATGTCTGCATTTATGAAGAACTGGATGTTTGAGGAACTCATCTCATACATTACATGTATTATAGAGTTTTTCTCCTTAGCCTTGTGTAGCAGGGAGAATAAATGTTCTTGTTTTTTACAGACTCAGGGGTGAAGTGACTTGCTGCAAGTGACTCAGAGGGGAAGCAAACCCATCTTTTGTCTCTGATCTGTTTCTGCTCAGAAGTCTTTATAATATTTGTTTAGACTAGAAGTTCATGAGGATTGGCTCCATATTCATTTTGTTCATTGCTTTATACCCAGAAGCTGTTAATAACCTGGTGCTTGGTGCATAGTAATTGCTCAGTGAAGATGTATTGGATGGACGACTTGCCTATAGGATAAAGACCAAACTTTTTCCCCAGTTCTCTGTTCTCACCCAGTTCTTTTTCTAGCCATACCTTCCATCACTCCTCCTGTATGTAAGCTCCCTTCTGCAGTAGGGAGACATTTCTCTCGTCCTGTCAGCACACCCTGTGCTTCTGACAAACCCAGTTAGTTAGTGAAGTAACTATATTTTCTTCAAGATGCGTGTGCTTCTCTATAAAACCTTCCCTGTTATCATTCCAGCTAGAAATATGTTCTTTCTCTGAATTCATAATGAAGTTAGGAGACCTTGTACCACTAGATGGCACTTATGCTGTGTGGTCTCAGTTTCTCCAAAGCATTGAGAAAGCTAAAGACAATGGCTTGGAGATGCCATAGACTGAAGTGAATTCATGGCTGACTGTGTACACTACTTAGATAATACATTTTTACAAATATTTCAACCGCTAGAAACAACTGTATGTACCTTCATTGGTCCTTAAATAACAGCTATATTATTACACTGGTGAAAGCCTTCTATTGGGGGTTTCATTGCATTTCAGACCCTGTCACCCAAGGAACTATTTTCAGAAATGTCTTTATGGATAATCAAAACGTACCATACTAGAAGGATAGACCTGAGTTTTACACGGGACATAATTGGCCAGAATCAAACAAACTGCCCTCAGCTAAGCAAAAAATTCTCCAGAAAAGGAACTGAACTATATAAAAGTGCTGTTGCTCGTTTTATAGTTATTTATATTCATGTTTTCATCTTTCAAATTATGAGACTGAAATAAAGAATGTTTTATACCTTCTTGCATGCTTTTGCTGCCAAACATAGTACTTTTCCGTAGTAGTTATTCACTGCTGACGTTTAATACATTTTAACGGGAATGTATAAACTATTATAGATCTTCAAGAGAGATTTTCTAAAAATACTTAAACGTAATCTTCCATTTCTTCTAATATACTGCCACTCAGTATACCAGAGAGATATATTAAATGACTATTGAGGACTCAAGTGCTGTAATAGAGTCAATATCTGTTGTCATTTTACAATAGTTTATTGACGATAGCAATTGATGGTATTAGAATCAACTTTACATTTAGAAGGGGCTTAACTTAAAACACTTAAAGTAAAAGAAACTTTTTATTTTTCTGACCACGGATACTCCATGTAAAAATTAAACTTGTTTCTGTATGTGTTCCTTCTTTCCAAAAGGTCATTTTAAATTAAATTAAGGAACTGAAACTTTTCAGAAGATGGGATATGTACATAATTTCTTCTCATCCTTGCCTAGACTTAATTGTATCTTGCTTGTATACGTATTATAAAAAGCAAAAAGTTAATTCACTTTTATGATTCTATTTTATTTTGACACTAGGATTAACACGTGACTTCTTTTGGCCAAAATGAGTGTTTACAACAGCCTCATGATGTTTCTGAGATAACATTGATAGCCAGAAGATAGCTGCATTTTCCATTTCCATCCTCATGACTCAGTGGCCAGATATTTATAAAAGTAAGATGAGTTACTAAGGTTTACCTTGATTATTTCTGCTGAACACTAAATAACTACACTGTAGTCATGGCCACAGCCTATTTGCTGACTACTCACTCAACAATTGAAACAGGTACAGTTCACCGTGTGACTCAATTCTCTTAAAAATTATATAAAGACTTCCAGGACCTGAGAGCATTGCATTCGCTACCCTATTATGGCTCTCAGTTTGCCATTAAAATGCCAATGATGATACAAATAAAGACAAAGGTAAGAGTACTCTAAATTAAAACTGAGGAAGCCATTTGCAAGAGCCTGGAAGGAACTTCTTTCATTTGAAGTTGAATTTAAGAACAATTGCAAAGTTACACATTTTTTATTTTTTTATTTTTTTATTTTTTTATTTTTTGCTGTCTGAACGGTTCATGTCCACCTGGGAAATAGACAAGAGCTCTTCAGCTCCTCTCTTAGGAGCAGACATAGCTAGGCATGGGAAGGGGCAGCACTGGACCCACAGGCTCGGTGTACAACGGACGAAATCAGGGTCCATCTTCCTCCCCTGATCGTGTAAATAGTAAATGCTGCCCTAACAGAGTGAGAACAGCTGTGAACAAGAACTGTTGTGAAATGAAATGAGTCAGCAACTGTGGTCAAGCAAGAAGAAGCAGGCTCTTGAGAGGACAGAGCCAAGTTATAATTATAAAGCAATAGAGATATGTTCACTAAAATAAAGAACAAAGTAACAATGTTTATTATGTCAGTATAAGTTAACATTATTGTAGAAACTTTAGTTAAAATAATAAGAATAAAAGATGAAACTATTGAATGGGAATAGACAAACTAAGTATTATTTGTAGGCAATAGATCACAAATCTGTAATACTTAAGAGAATTTACCGAAACCATACTTGAATTAAAAAGGATTCAATGAAAGTGGCTAGATTTCAGGATAAATACACATAAAATGATACAGTCAGCCTTCATATCAGCAGGTTCTATGCCCACAGATTCAATAAATTGCAGATTGAAGGTATTGAATAAAATAAAAACACAATAAAAATAGTAGAGATAAAACATATAGTATAAATAAGTGACACAGCATTTATGTTATACTAGGTATTATAAGTAATCAAGAGGTGATTTAACCTGTACAGGAGGATCCCATAGGTTATATGCAAGTACTGTGCAATTTTACATTAGGGAGTGGAGCAACCCAAACTTTGGTATCTACAGGGGTCCTGGAACAAACTTCCTGTAGATACTGTGGGACAACTGTAGTTACTCTCAAAACCAGCAATAACTAGTTAGAAAATTTACTAGCAAAAAAAGTTACTTTTTACTATAGAAACACAAAAGAACAAAATCGTTAAATACCCCAAAATAACTTTCTTAAAAGTATTGGAGTAAATAGATCATGCTACTCTATGTTAAGACAGAGTATTATAAAGTTACCAGTTTGCAAAGTAGTTTTGATAATAGAATACTGATAAAACATTTGGGAGAGAAAAGTATTGTATGAGATATTCTTAACCCAAAGTGGGGAGATTTTGACAAATAGTACTAATGTTCATATAAAGAAATTAGCAAGTGATGACAAGATGTTTTCAAAAGGAAATATTTCTAACAGGCATAAAAGTATATTATGAAGGTATAATAGTTATAATAGTACAATGTTGGTAGTAGGATAGTAATTGATACATGATTCAGTCAGAGCCTTAAAACATTCATCCAAGAACAGACATTTGGCATATAAGATGAATAAAGATGGCATCATAAGTTAGTGAGGAAGAGAAAGATGTACCTGGAGCTAGAACCATTATTTTTATAAGAATACTTATAGGCTCAAATCATTTACTAAAAAATTTTGCATAAGCACTTTTAGAAGTACAAGCTATAGGGGCCAGCAGATGGCATGGTGGTTGAAGTGCTGGACTCCCAAATGGCCGACCATGGTTCGAGTCCTGCACCTGGCAGCTTGCTTTCTCACTTTCCCTCTCTTTTTCTTTCTCTCTTCTACCTCTGGTGAGCACATGTGCCTTACAGCAACTTTAAAAAATAGTACATACATACATACATAAATCTTTAAAAGACAAGTACAAACAACAGGGCCAACCAGTGGTACAGTGGTTATAGTGGCTGAGTCCCACATGGCTGATTGTATAGTTCAAGTCGCAGACCCTATGGCTTGAAAAACACAGCAGGCATGTGTGCGTGCACGTACCAAGTCTCAAGAGGGCATGGAGGAGAAGGGATAGTGGCATGGCCATTCCCAGTGTGGGTAGGGTAATTTCTCACTTACCTCTCTTCTCTCTTTCTCTGCTCCGTAAAGCAAAAATTAAAAAAAATGAAAAAAAAAAGTACAAATCATAAACAGTATCTAGAAAACTTGCTGTTAAAAACATTTTATTTTGGCTTTATCAGTCAGAATCTGTTTTGGAAGTCAGAAGTTCATGTCACTGTAAGAAATAAAACATGAAAATTTCCACTTGTTATTTCTTTTCACTTTTCTTCCTCCTTTATAGATATTCGAATACCACTAATGTGGAAAGACTCAGATCACTTCAGCAATAAAGAACGTATGTATGCTTTTAATTTGTAATTGAAATACTTTCTTTAGTATATAGTAAATTGTGATTATCATAGGGAAAAAAACTGCATCTTCAATTAAATAAATTGATGTCATTTAACAGGGCAAACAATCTCGTTAAAATATTGGGTTCTGATTTTTTTAAATATACGTTGCAATTGCTTCACGCTATAATAATTTAGATAATGTTTATCTGTGTACTTTTATTTGTTGATAAGAACCTATGTAAGGGCAGTGGGTAAAAGGTTCAGGGTAAAGAGCCAGGAAGGGAACTATGAAACAAAAGAAAATGTTTAAGGGGTAAATGTAAAGGACGACATTTCTTGTTTGACCAGAATCTGGGAGATCTTTTCTGCCTCATTTTGTTACTTCAGCTTATTTAACAAGATGTTACTAAGTAAAAATTTTTTAGCTCGATCTGACATATTTTGCCTTATAATGTTATGGTTTTATATAATCTTCAAAAATCCATGTATTGCTTAAGGTCATGGATATTAACCTTAAATGATTCTAACTGTTAGAGGCAAAGCAGAAAAGATATGATAATCCCTTATCTCCCTTGTCTATTGTGCCAGCTTTGTTTTTCATACTTTAAAAACAGAATCGCATTGGACATAATTAGTTTTATATGAAGAATTTAAAATCAGGTTAGTGTTTGTTATTCAATTAAGAAATGTAATTTACTTTACAAAGGAATATATGCAGGAATTAAGTAAATCTTTCTGATTACTTTAAGAATAAGTTCTTTTGAAGAGCACATTTTCTCAATAATGAGGATTTTTAGCCCTTTAATCGCCCAATACTTTTTAAAAATCACCAAATTAAGAGGAACAGCAGCTATTTTTTTTTTTTTTTTCTGTTCCCATGTCTGTTTTTTACTGTTTTTTTTGTGGTTTCCTCCCTTGGTGTTAGTTTGGTGGAAAATGTTTTGCTGTTGTTAATGTGCCTACGCTTAACCTCTTCTAATAAAAACATCTTTTTCTTAAATAGACCTGGGAACCAAAATGTCAGAGTTAATGCACATACACGTCCTATTATCTCTGTCATATAGATACATATATATATATGTATATTATATATATAGATACATATCTATATATATAATATGTATCTATATATATAATATCCATACATGTATGTACATACTCTTATATAATAAAGTTGCTACTAATTAAAGGTCAAGAATTGTCTATGAATAAAATCTATGATTTTGGTAGTTTCTTTAGGCTGCTCAGAGGCTGCTATATTTAACTTTATTTTTTTGATACTCCATAGTTTAAGGGTGTTCTCACTGAGTAAGGTATTACAACAATATATACTGGTAGAATAGTCACTATAAAACATTAAGAGTTGTGGGAACCAGCAGTTAGCGTAATGGCTATGTTGCTGGACTCCCACGTAGTCAACCGCGGTTCGTGTCCCGGACCCGGTGGCTTAAAACTCACGCCGGGCGCGTGTGCGTGTGTGCCCAAGATCCCGAGAGGAGAATGGAGGAGAAGGGATTGCGGCGTGACCATCCCCCCTGGGGGGTGATTTCTCGCTTTCTGTCTCTATGTCTCTCTCTGTCTGTCTGGCGAGCGCACGCGCCCTACAGTGAAAATCTCTCAAAAAAAAAAAAAAAAAAACATTAAGAGTTGTAATGCACACATAGTATATGAAAATAGGATCTATTAAGTAAGCTGATGCTTTTTATTTTCAAGTAGATTTTAATATGCAGGCATGTTTTATCACATGGATTGTTGCTTAAAACTGTTGTTTTCTTTTTTAGAATCACAGCGCTATGCCATTTTTTGTTTATTCAAAATGGGAGCTAAAGTTTTTGACACAGACATGGTGATTGTGGATAAAACAGTCACAGATATATGTTTTGAAAATGTAACGATCTTGTAAGTATTTTTAAAATCTTCAGAGAATGAAAATCTAAAATTCTTTTTTTTTAAGGATGGCCTAACCATTGAGTCTCGATTTTTTTTTTTAAGTGTTAAGATCTTTGAATGTTTTATGTCATTTGGAAAATTGGTTTATTCAAAGAAGCCTATTCTACATTCACCATTTTCTGATGTAAAATAAATGGAAATCTTATAATTAATACTAATAGTACATATTTGAGTTACTGGACATGAGACATTTTAGAATTTTTATAAATATTTATAGTTCCATTATTACTTAAGCTATCTACCATACAATTTCATCTAACATTATTTGATATAGAGTAAATTTGAGCATAAAACAGGTTCTTCTATCTCATAGACAATTCAGTTACAGAAATACTAAAATAGTGTAACAGCTTTATTTATAAGGTAGTCCTGAAGTATAAACCATAGGAAAAGCACTTTGGTAAAATTTCGGGGTGTGCTTTTTCTTATGGTGCACTTCTTTCATGTACTCCAAAACAATAAAAAAAAAAATGGGTGATCTTCAGAACTGTTTTTATTGCCCCTACTCTTTTACAGGCTCATTTTATTGTGGTCATAATACCGAACCAGAAAGAGCTCCTCGGGTAGCCATAGAAATAATTTTTAACTAACCTAAGTTTTTCCTTGCCTCTTCTAAAAGTTCTGTTGGCCTAAATCAGTGTGGAATTTGTATTTCTTTCAGGCTTTCAAAGACATTATCTTCATGTCTGAATGGTAATAGCATTATACTATTAAGAGAAAATGAATTCACATGATTTTTTTGCCATTTTCAAGAGTGGAGCTGTATAGTTGAGATTTCAGAGAACTAGTTTTGTCACTCACATAACATTAAAAAAAAACTACTGCAAACCATTTTTTGTGGCTTCTGGTCCAGTGTCCCATAGTGATTGTATAACACAGAAAAATAAAATGCATTGTTCCGGGTTATTAGCAATAATGAAGGCCTTCTTACAAGCTCTATTGAACCAATGGGATTTATTTAGGGTGCAAAAAGAAAAAAAAATACCAAATGCTTAGGTAGTTAAGGCTGAAAAAATAATCTTTCCTTGGTTATCTGAATGCACTTATTTCCATTATCAACCATTGCTACTGATTTTTTTCTACCAAAATTATCCTGTTAATAGACTCTTTTCTTCACCTCATTTTACTATTGTTTGTTTTTACCACAAAGACAAAACTCAGACTAACTTCAGGGAAAGAACAATGTAAGTTACTTGGGAAGACAAAACATGATTTATAATTTTCTTACAATTCTGTAAATATTTTAAATTGTCCTAAAAATAACTGCTAACAAATGTTCTTAATGTTTAAAAAATGTGCTTTTTGTTATGATGATTGTTTTTAATAAGTATGCAATATTTATGAATCTCTGGTTTTCCTCTAAATATTGACATTTGTTAGTCATTACCAGGAATACTGTATGTTTAAAAGTTGCCAAATAATAAACTATAAAAATATCTGGAAGTTATTCCTTGGATTCATCCATGTTATAGATTATTCATTTAAATATTAAAAAGCCTATACTGCAGTTTTAAAATTTCCCAAGGTGATAGATCTTCCATCTGTAGGCAACAACTGCTACTAATGGACTTATTTTACAATCATTAAGTGTTGGATTGCCGGAAAAGTCAGGATATATTTTTTTCTTTGTTTTTCTAGGCAAAAATGTATTGTGACTTTTCTGACCACCAATGTAATTGTATTGATAGTTATACCACCACAGTTTTTCTTTTTTTTGGAGAGGTTTTTGCTATAGGGCGCGTGCGCTTGCCAGACAGAGAGAGATAGAGAGACAGAAAGCGAGAAATCACCCCCCCAGGGGGGATGGCCACGCTGCAATCCCTTCTCCTCCATTCTCCTCTCGGGCTCTTGGGCACACATGCACACACGCCCGGCGGGAGTTTTAAGCCACCGGGTCCAGGACTCGAATCACAGTCGACTACGTGGGAATCCAGCGACATAGCCATTAGGCTAACTGCTGGTCCCACCACCACAGTTTTATATGCTAAAATTAGTTCCTTGTGTCTAGACAAGGGTAAAGCCAACATTGTTTTGTATATTCCCCCTGTATAACCAAGCAGTATAGGGCGCGTGCGCTTGCCAGACAGAGAGAGATAGAGAGACAGAAAGCGAGAAATCACCCCCCCAGGGGGGATGGCCACGCTGCAATCCCTTCTCCTCCATTCTCCTCTCGGGCTCTTGGGCACACATGCACACACGCCCGGCGGGAGTTTTAAGCCACCGGGTCCAGGACTCGAATCACAGTCGACTACGTGGGAATCCAGCGACATAGCCATTAGGCTAACTGCTGGTCCCACCACCACAGTTTTATATGCTAAAATTAGTTCCTTGTGTCTAGACAAGGGTAAAGCCAACATTGTTTTGTATATTCCCCCTGTATAACCAAGCAGTGGAATGTTGATTATGGTTAGCAGGTACATAAGGAGTGGAAGGGGTGCAGTGGTAAGTGCACTGTAAGTGATGCTTCATGAAGAAGAAATGAAAACTAGAGTTTCAACAGATTTTGTTTTGGAGGAATAGTCATTTCAGAAAATTATACATATAACATAAACACCTTAAAAATAGCAGTATTAAAGGAGTGGCAGAGAAATAGCACTGGCAACAAAATGACCAGAGCACTTTATTATTTTCTTTAAGTAATATGCCTATATTGGCTAAATAGAGTTAAGATTGTCCTAGTATGGTGTTTTATTAGTTTAGTTGGTGACTCTCTCAGGCCATTTAGATACTAAACAATCATGGGAGACTCTTTCTCATTAACATATATTAACATAAACCTATTTTAAATGTATGAAAACATCAAAGGATGTTATAATTTTATATTCTTTTGAGTTAAATTTCTAACGTTATGAATGCCCTTGTTTTTAGCAATGAAGCAGGGCCAGATTTTCAGATAAAGGTGGAAGTATATAGTTGTTGTACAGAAGAATCTTCCATCACTAACACACCAAAAAAGCTCGCTAAGAAACTTAAGACATCTATCAGTAAAGCTACAGGAAAGAAAATAAACTCAATACTTCAAGAAGACGATCACGAAATATGCTTGTTCTTCAGTTCTTCTGTTTCGTAAGTTTTCTAGTAAAATATAATGATGACATAATATGATTTTGTGATTATATGTGGAGTATATGTTTACATTTTAAATGAGAAAACATCCAGAATCAGAAACAAAGCTTGGTTGTCTGAAATGTACCCAGCTGAGGTGTCCCTTAGTATCTTCATTTGAAGGTAGGACCTCAGGTGACAGAGAGTTTTTAGTGATTTGGAATCCCGGTATCCACCAAAAAGGGGGAATGCATTTCTTGAACAGGAATGTATGTCATTCCTGTGTATGTCAAAGCATTTGCTATATATATTCTACCAATTAGACGTCTATAGGTTTTTAATGCTTTGTTTTTATAGATTTTAATTGTCTAATACCGTCTACATACAGTCTATTTTCACATTGCCCCAATTCTGGAAAAGTCTTACTGATTTGTTTGTTCAAATCAGAATCCAAACAAGGTCTTCAGTATTAAATTTAAGTGAACCTTTTAACTTTGTTCTGACCTATTAGAATTTCAATCTGCTTTTTTTTTTTTTCTTGCCATTATTTATTGAGGGAACCAGGTCTTGTGGAATGTTCCATATTTTAGATCTAGGTGACCTTTGTGATTTTTTAAAATCTTTTTCTGGCCTTTGTGTTTCCTATAACCAGGTAGTTAGAGCTGGAGGACTGATTAGATTTAGGCTCTCTTTTAAGGCACTGATACTTCATTTTATTAGCGCTGCTTCCTATATCTCCCATTAAGAGTCCTTGTCTCACATTTAGTAATGTTTGAATCGATCAGTGAGTTCAGGTGTTCAGTTCTGATACATCTGCTAGAAAGTTTTCTTTCAACCCGTTACCTAATGGTTTTCTAGCATCCATTGTTGATCATTATTTCATTAAGAATTAAAATTAGGTGACTTTTTTTTTTGAGAGACTTTTGCTGTAGGGTGCACGTACTTGTCAGAGAGACAGAGAGGGACATAAAGTGAGAAATCCCCCCCCCCCCAGGGGGATGGCCACACCCAACACCCTTCTCCATTCTCCTCTTGGGATCTTGGGCACAACACTCATGTACCTGGCATGAGTTTTAAGCTGCTGGGTCGGGGACTTGAACTGCAGTTGACTAAGTGGGAGTCCAGGGACATAACCATCAAGCCATCTGCTGGTCTTATGGTGCCATGGTGACGTTCTAAATTTGTCCTGCATTTTTCTTCTAATCTGAAATTCTAGGGGAAAAAAAGAATTTTCTCTCATAAACTCCCTGGATACAACTGCCAGAAAATATGTACAAGTAGGAGTTTAAAATACTTCACTTCTTACTTCTTTTCTATTCTTTTCACAAGAGAATGCAGGAGGGTTGGAGGGAGTGATAAAGTAAGAGGTACTTTTTTTTTTTTTTTTTGGAGAGATTTTCACTATAGGGCACGTGCGCTCACCAGACAGACAGAGAGAGACATAGAGACAGAAAGCGAGAAATCACCCCCAGGGGGGGTGGTCACACCGCAATCCCTTCTCCTTTATTCTCCTCTTGGTATCTTGGGCACGCACGCACACGCGCCCGGCGTGAGTTTTAAGCCACCTGGTCCGGGACGCAAACCGCAGTCAACTATGTGGGAGTCCAACAACATAACCATTACGCTAACTGCTGGTTCCCAAAGTAAGAGGTACTTTTGACAGGGTCTCTCCTATCCTCCTGCCTAAGCCTCTAAGGGTCAGTGACATGTGCCATGCTGCCACACCTCGCTTGTTTACATTGAGCTGGGAACTGCATGAGATAGATCCTCCAGTGTACCCTTGAGCACCACAGTGGTGCCTTTCTGCTCATGCCATCATGGCTGGGCAACTTTATTCTTTATTATTTTTTTAAAAAGTTTTTTCCTTTTTATTTTATTTTATTATTTTTTTTTTTTGAGAAAGGGAGAGACAGGTACTCTGGACAGGGTCTTGCTGTACTCTAATCTACTTCTCCCCCTACTACCTACCCTTTAGCCATTCAGGACTGTGGACGCAATCGACATTTGTAGGTCAACCCTGGTTTCCAATCCTGGGCCTCCCATGTGACTCCAGTGTCATTCAGTGGCACCCTATACTCACACCATCATGGCTCAGCCTGACTTTATTCTTATATTTACCAAATTTTAGAATAATAATCTAATATCCTAGCAAACATGCTGTTTTATTTGAATTTTTATGTATTTGTGTTTCAGTCTATTGTAGTTATTATCTTTTTGCCCAAATTGTTCCAACTTTGATCAGTGCCAGACATTTAAGGTAACTCCTGCATCCTTTTGACACAGCCTAATCTTAGCTTCTCTGCTTTCTGACACAATAAGCTGTTCCTGATCATCTTGTATCTTCCTGCTCAGACTTGTAATCGCCCTTTCTCTAAGGAGTCCTGGTTTCTTGCAGATATCGTCTTTAAACATTGTATTTGTTTCTTCACAAATAGTTTTATGTTTATGTTTCTTTGAGAAAGTGTTGATCAGACTGCATTCCTTGAATTTTTTCTTTTTTTTTTTTTTTTTGCGTGTTTAGTAGAGTCAGCTCTTTAGCCTATCAATAATTTCACTGTAATTACAAAAAGCAGGGTATTTTAGATATAGATACTGGAAACATCAATCATCAAAATATAATTAGCTCTTCTCATGTAAGATATATTATATGTGAATTAGGCCTTGGCACTCTAGCATAGTGGCTTTCAATCTATTTTGATTAAGACTCATGCTAAGAAATACATTTACATCACTACTAAGTGCACAGCTACATAACCAGGTAGATTTCATGATACTTCATGATTTCAGTACTTTAACCCTTACTATTTATAGTGCAGTTATCAGGGCCTTTTTTTTTTGGAGAGGTTTTTGCCATAGGGCGCATGCGCTTGCCAGACAGACAGAGAGAGACAGAGAAACAGAAAGCGAGAAATCATCCCCCAGAGGGGATGGCCACACTGCAATCCCTTCTCCATTCTCCTCTCAGGATCTTGGGCACGCATGCACACGCGCCCAGCGTGAATTTTAAGGCACCGGGTCCGGGACTCGAACCGTGGTCGACTACATGGGAGTCCGGCGACATAGCCATTACTCTAACTGCTGGTCCCAGGGAATTTTAAAATTCTAATTGCTTTCAGTTTTTTTTTAAAGGCTGTTTATAAATCAAATTGATTTCATGATCCATGAATGAGCCCAAGTCAGTCTGAAAAACATTTATAGATGATATTTCTTTTCTTTTTTTTTCCCCAGTGTAAGTATTGTTTCAAATGGAGCAGGGTACTTTTAATTTTCTTCTTTTAGCTCTAAGACCGTCTTAAAAATTTTTCTACATTAAGATTATGTCAAGGATTTGCTGGAAGGTACTTTAGCTCAACCATAAGGCAGTGGAAATATTTCTTTTTGATGATTAAGTAATTCTATTTCCAGGTTGAAACATAGATTCTAGAATTGAAAGAGACTTTAGAGATAATCACCTACTTTGGTAGTTTAAAAATTTTTTAAGCAGCAAAGTTCTATATTTTAAAAAATAACAGAACCAGGAGTGTCTCTTATTCAAACTAAACTATACCAAAATGGGCAAATGTAAAACAGTATATATTTTCCTTAGTAGTGTAACATGTGGCCAAATATAGCTGTTCTTCCTGCAAGAATACAGTTTTTCATCTTACCATTTAAAGTACTCATTTGTTTTTCATGACATTTTTGGACTCCCTCTTCCAAAATTGTTACAATTGGCCTATTTGATAGAAAAAATGTAGCTGATTAAATTTTTGGGAACTCAGTATTAGGGTTGGCTAAAAGGAATGAGTGTAATGTTTTAGAAAGAAAATGTTATCCTGACAAGAATGTTTGAAAAGTGAGGTCATTGTTGGTTTTGGAAACACTGGTATTGTAATTAGTCATGGTTTAAAAATGAAGTAACTTGAAATATCATCATAAAGTATTGTTTGATCTGAAAGAAGACAGTGAACATTTTTGGTAATTTTTAGTATGCTCCCCGTTGTGATTCATTTACTCATTTTATTTGTGGACTTAGCTTACTGAAATTCCTTTGGCTGGATTTTCCCAGTGCCTCTAATAGCTGAATTAACTATTTTATGCTCCTTGATAACTATTTAACACATTATTCTTCACTGTACAAGTATACATTATTTTAAAAGATCATTTTGTGAAAACTGGTAAAATCAAAAAGTGATTATTTACTTGACAAAAAGATGTAATTTGTAAGAATCAGAAGAGCACTTGAATAAACTCCATCCACCAGACCTACCAGCCTGCCTGGATCTGTGTCCATATTTGCAATTTCCTTTCTTGCGAACCACCTTTGCCTCACTGAAGGCCAGTGTCCTGTGTCCCACCTCCTGTCTTCTCTGTTACACCAAATTAGGCTCCTCCTCATGTTTCCCCCTCTCTCCTCTATTATTAGTTTTTCTTCTACCCCACTATACCCACAGACATATAAACATGCTGCAGTGTTTCCTGTGTCATAGTTATCTTTTACAGAAAACAGTTGTTTTATATTCCTATTTCCACTTCCTCTAGGCCCATTCTCTCTTGGACCATTCCAGTGGACTTTCCATCATGTTACCTCCACCCTTCTCCACAGGCACTGCTCCTGTCGAGTTCAACAGTGATATTCGTTGTGTAATCAGTTATTAGTGTTCTTGAACTTTGCAGCATTAATGAAATTGATTGCTCTTCTTGAAATAACTTGCTTATCCTCTAGTATACCACTTGTTTTTTTCTTTTACATCAATGACTGTTCTTGCCTGTCTCCATTGTTCAGTGCTCTTCAACTTTATCTGAAATGATGAAGTTCTTGTGTCCCTGAATTTTGTCCTTAGACTTCAATGAGCTTTCTAGCTTTCATTAAATTTTATCTATATACTGGTAGCTCCCAAATTTATATCTCCAGTTCTCACTTCCCTCCTCACTCCCCACTTGTGTATCCAGTGCCTATCATTACTGTCTAGATAACCTAAACAATCTCAAACTTGCCCGAAATGAAATCACTTTCTGCATCTATTTTTTTCTCTGTCTGT